TTTACAGGTTCTCAGACAAAAGTAACTTGTACTAAAAAGGCCTCTTTGCACATAAATGGCATCAACAAGGACAGCAACTAGGAAATGGTTCTAGGTAAGACAAAACAAATATGGATGCCAGTTTTACTACTTTCTTGTAAAAAGAGGAAGGATGCAAGCGCTAAGAATTCTCCTTACAGAGCTGAGAAAGCTTCTCCTTGTATTCCCAAATTTTTGTATCTCAAAATATTTGAAAAACCCAATAGGAACACGCTTGTTCTCTACAGCTCTTGATTATGTGGACACACAGTGGACAAAGTTAGGAAAAATAGGTTATAATTGCACAGGGGTGGCTTCAAAGTGAAACAATAAAGAAACACCACCTGAGTATGAACAAGACTAAACAGGCTTGTGTAGATGGGAAAGGCCTGCTTCCTAACGGATTAAGACAAGAGTTTTCCACAAGGTGGAGGCATGTAAATTGCCTGCATCTTCGTGCTACCTTTAACATATAAGGACAGAGGCTATGTAGCGATTTCTGGCTCAGCTGCCAAGAAAAGCCATAGGTGAAAGAGGAATCGAACTAGTTTCACGATCTACTTTTTGAATTGGGTAAAACCAGGGAGGAACAGCTTGCACCCCTTGCCGTCTTTCTTCTGTACGCTCAGTATCAGTCCTGCGGTTGTTGGCTGGCACACTGGAAACATGCCTCAGCCAGCAGGACCACATTGCCTTTTTGCAGTAAGAAAGAAAACATCTGGTAAGCAGAATCCGTAAGAAGGCAGGGGAAGAAAATGGAATACGTAAGTCTTTCTTATACTAGATCTTCTGCCTGTTTGAAATACCAGCAGAAGGAGGAATATACATTGTCTACATAACCCACAGCTTTGAGCAATCATCACTTATCATGGGGTTTAAGCCACACAGGACGGAACTTTATCTTGATACATGGGGTAGAAATTAAACTTATATACAAGTGCACAGAAGTATTAAGAAATTATCCAGTATAGTAGTCATGGGTCTCTGAATCATAAAGTAAGTTAACAACACAAGTATGAAAAGCAAGCTTTTTTTAGGCTATATATTTATTAGAAGCAATATTAATGTATGAATCCACCTTGGAAGAAAATAAGTGTCCTTGAGATGTCAGATTCTATCAGCCAAATTGAATGTCTGCATCAATGGCTCTCCCTAAAAGTCATAATTAGGTCATTAAAATATATTTAGAAAAATAGCCTGTAAAATAAAGTTAAAAAATACTCACCTTCATTTTATTTCATAGGTCACTGTTACACCATCTAATAAGATAATTAAAAACATGCAAGCAGCTGGTACTGAGGCTAAACAGATTAATGTAATAGTCTGTAGTCATATGTGCTGGCAAGGGGTTCACCTCTTTGGCGAGGAGAAGGTCAGCTGCCCTTGGGAAGGTAGGAGAAAGACAGTATTTCTACTTGCCAGTGGCACTGCATTGCAGATACTGAAACTAGAGACCCACACCTATTTTTCTTTTCCTTTTGGTGAAGTCCATCCAATTTGCACATCCAGAAAAGGCTTCAACCATAGCAGTAAAAAAATACAGTAGAGTGGAGCTCAAATATTTTCCTCAAGTTTCCTATGTTTTAAAGATGAGAGTTACTATATGTCTAAATCCTTGTTCAAAGTTTTCTAATATTGAACTTCAAATTTTGATGACACGGTTCTAGGAAATAATTTTCATAATTTCTTGCTAGTAAAGCTTCTTCCCAAGTACACAAAGAATACTTCCATCAGAGCCTGAAGACTAACTAGAAAATTCACTGTGACCTGAAAGGACGCATTCACAAACTCACAGAATATTTAGAAATATGTGCCAGTCACATGTGCTTTTTACTTACATTACTTAGAAACTTTGTGACCTAAAGGGAAATGCTCACTATCTGAACATAAGTAGCATTAAATCTGTGCCGTGATCAACACAAGGAAGAGCCACAAACTTTAAGGTGACATCACATTAAAAATAAAACTGTACAAATAGTTCTGGAGCATTATAAATATTTCAAAGGATAATGATCTGACATCCTTTATTAATATATACACACACACACTCAGAGTCTTGTACTGGATAGTGTAAAATTGTCCTTTAAAATAGAAAGTGTTGGAATCAAGTAACACCCCCTGCTCCATGGGTTTTTTTATTGTGGTAAAACCAGTATGCTCTTAAGAGCACTTTAATAGCAAAGCACATTCACAGTCAAATATTTTTAAACATTTGGAGTTGCCTTTTCTCCTAAATAAATTGTAAAGAGACTGCTACTGATAAAACATAAAGCAGCTTTTGTTTCAGTAAAAATTTTCAGTAGAATTTTGCATGTATTAGCCTTTTGCAAGCATGACATCTACCATGATCCAAAGACGCCTTTGCCTCTTTTAGGGCAAAAATTCACTAGCCAATCTTTTTAAAATACTATAGACAGAAACACATTTGGCAAACAAGACTATCATCAGTTTTATCAAATTACTAACTTATGGAAACACTATTCATTGACAGTATCCTAAAATAAGTCCAAATCTCCAATGAGTCCTTAAAGAAGTAACAACCATTTACCATTGTTTCCTTTCAAGGTAGTTTAAGATTCACTTTTCATCTTTCATAAGGTACTAGTTGCTTGTTTTTACTTAACATGCAGCACAGAACTATATCTATCAACACAACATTCAGCCCAACCAGCAAATTTACAGCCAGTCTCATTATATGATGGGAGTTACTTGCCACTGAGCAGCAAATATAAATTTCACACCTTAAACATTATAATGCTACTTAATAACAGTGCTAGCTTGCCAACTATTAAAAATCAGAGGTTTCTTTTATATATATATGTGTGTATACACACACAGACACACACACACACATATATATACACAGTACTATCTTGCTTTATCATCTTACCTCTAATTATAACAATAATATTCTGGCAGTAGTATATGGGACTGCTTTTAAAATATTAATTAACTTCAGTTTTGTAAGTTGGGCTGTAATCCTCTCTGACAGAATATGATTATTATCCACTGCAAGTCGTAGTGCCAACATCGTATTTATTATATGCACTTTGGACTAAGGAATATGGAGATACAAAGGCCAGCTTTAACCTCCTCTTATTTGTGGAGCGTTAAAGATGGCTGAGGATTCACTACAGTTTGGGCTGGGCTGGTTTAGCCCCCTGGAGTGGCTCACTGTGAGATGAGGGCTGATGGATGACTGAAGAAGGGGTAGGAAGAAAGGGTCAGACCTCAGCCCCACAGCTCACACCCCCATGGCACCAGGGCCTAGCTGAACCTGGCTTCTTCTCCAAGTTTCACCTTGGCAGGTACAACAGCTGGGGCTCTGAGTTAACAACTTGCAGGTGTAAGTGTCCTGGAATTAATGGTAGAGCGAGCTCTCAACTCCTTCCTTTTGCTGATCTGGCTTAAATTCTACCTGCTTCATGGTCTCTGTATCTACATATGCTTCTCACCCCAAAACCATGGAGATTATTCTGGGTGGTATTTTTGAGCACTTCTTTTAACTTAGATAGTATGTTGCGTGCATTAGAGAACACAAAGATGACAAGAAATCGAGTCAGGCAGAACCCTGGAATGGATCTGCTAACATATTTTTCTCAAAGTGAACACGCTACCTGCCCTCAAAGGGTTTTGTATCATCACAAAGTAGGTTTCATCAGAGAATACAGAAATTACTAGAATACAGAAAACTGGAAGGATTTGTAAATCAAACCTCCCCTGTCCCACTGCATCCCTGCAGGCACAGCCTTTTTTCCAACCTTGCTCTCAGTCCAGAAGCTTCCTCTGGTTGTTTGAATCGCAACAAACCCTTTGCTCTTCCCTCTAGGTCCTTACGAGAAGTCTGTCTTTTCACCATCCTCAAGACCAGGCTGTTTGCTCCCTGCTCTCCTCAGCAACGTCTCGGTCTCCAGCCCGCAGCGGGCTCTCCGGGCGCTGCGTGCCTGCAGCCTGCAGCGAGCAGCGACTGGCGCCCAGCACTGCTCCCTGCCTGCAAGATGGCGCGACACTCCCCAGCCAGCCCGCTGCAGCCAGGACGAGGCAAACGGGCAGGTTCCTCCTGCCTGCCTGCCTGCACCTCTTTGAAGCACAGAGACTCCAGTAGGCTACAGACAAAGAATGAAAAAGATGCCATCCATTACAGTTCAGCAAACGAATCCAAAAGAATCAGGTGGCAAGCTTGTTTTATTTTACCGTGCTTAAGCATCAAAATCAGATGCAGTCATTCTGGTTAGCGCAAATCTTACTATTAATTTACCAGTCGTAAGGACAAAGATTTAGCATTTGTAGTAGCACAGGCAGTATTTTACTGGCTGAAAGATGAAACTACACATCTGCTGATTACCTTCTGCGCTTGCAAGTACAAGACAGCCTCCGGTATGTACCCAAGTAAGACTCAAGCTCAGTGACGGTGCTGAAAGATGTTGCTTAGCATCATGTTTCTTTAACTGGTGTTTACTACCAACAGAATTGAAATATTACTTTCTTGTGAGAAAACCTCAAACTTAACAAATCCTGGCTTTGGGTTTTGACCTGCAAGAACGAGCAAATAAGAGTTCCATGTGGTCCATAGATCCAGTTACTTCAGAGAAGATCAGAAAGGTGATCCCTGGTGACTTAAATATTCCAACAACATTTACCTTAGCTGCTATGAGTTTAAGTAAGAATTTCTACTTTATTGTGTACTTTGGAGGAAAAAACCCAACCTTAAAAATATTTAGACTTACAAACATCCTGTACTTTCATTAGTTAAGCATTTTGAACAGCTTTCTCAAAAAAAAAAAAAAGAAAAATCCAGAAAACAACTTTTCAGATAATTCCTTAATTAAATCCTTCATGTCCTTTAGTCTACTGACTGTTGCAATTTAGATTGTACAATACTCTTAAAATATATGGACCTGTTCTATTGCTTTAAATAGATTATGCTGCTTACTATATTGAAACTTTTTAAAATTAGAAAATAAATACAAAAAATTACCAACCTGTAAGAAAGAAATGTTCCATCAGAATCTGAGGTGTGGTGTGTGCTTCCATTTTCATTTGATCCTCCTAATACAAAAATAAAAGAAAACACCTTTGTTATAAGACAAAACCCTGATAATAAATAACACAATATCGATGAGAATTGCAATTGATTTTACCACATATGGTAACTTTAGTTTACGACAAGACTTACATAGACAAGCCATAACTTTACATCTTCGAATTCTTACAGCTGGCAAGAGAGACAACTTGCCTCCACGTTCAATTTGGAGTCTGAATGTTCTGAGAATCTGAGTTTTAATTTCACTTAAAGTTTTGATTGAGGCCCTCCTCAGCTTATTAAACACAATTTTACTAGTATAAGATTACAGAGGTATACCATATAAATAGGTGAGTTTGATTTTACTAACATTAAGTCAAAGAATGCAAAAGTTCATCTATTCCATGAAAGATTTCAAATTGACTGTGTGATACCAGATATTTTTTGTCATAGCACAAGTTCAAAGCTTCTCTGAAACTACCTAAGTAACATGTCTGCAAAATGTCATTTTACATCCTGTGGGCTGTTTATACATAGAACAGTGATGTTCACAGAAGCCAAGGATTACAAGGAAACCTACCGTTCTATAATAACTACTTCTACCAAAGGACTGTTAAAAGCCAGAAAAAGAATCATCTATTTTTCAAAGCAAATTTATTCATGTCCTGTTTTATATTATTTATTCTTGCACAACCTGTCATTTACCTTGATAATTCTTCTATGTCCCTGTCTATTTCCTTAATTCATTTACAGACAGCATTGCGCACTTTTGTGTCCTCTGTTCTGCTTACTGAAATCAAGTTCTTTCAGTCTTTTTCCTAAATGAGGCTCCTTATTCCCTGTTTTATTTAAATCAGTCCTCCTTACACATGGAAAAGAAGGGACAGGAGCTGTAGACAGCATACTGAAAGCTTAATCAGTTGATTCTCTGGACAGTGGTTTTCTTCTCTATCAAAAAAATCACACTCGATACATTCTATAGTCACACCACACCATCTTGCAGTTTCACAGCCATCCTTAACCAACACGCCTACATGTTTACTCTCCATTTTTATTTACAAAAAGAAGTTTGCAGTTTACAGTAAAAATTCTTGCTAGTATAATATTGTATTTCACACTATTTCATGCTGTTTCTAGTCCTCTTTCTCTCAGAAAGGACCAGTCCTACCTAAATACTCTATTTGTGCTTGCACTGGATACTACCTTCTAATATTTTTTCTTCATAAAAGTCCATCAATGCAGTCTCTCGCTTTGTGGCAAGACAACAAATGAAAATACTGGGTAAGATCAGTTCCACCACAAACTCCACTAAAAATAATTCTTTGATTTAAATCTGCATTTCTCTATTCATCTTATAATTACTGTATTTCACTAATCCCCATCCCTTCTATTCCATAACATCTTCCATAACATGGCACCACATCACATGGTTTACTGAGGTCCAGATAGCCTTGATGTATATCCTTAATGTATATTTTGAAAAGCTAACAGGTTAGCTGGGCACGATCTCCTGTTTAATAAATTACCTGCACTGAAAGTTATGCCATTCGCTTTTCTTTTATCTCTTATTTTTTTCTTAAAAACTTTTCTACAGCCCTGCACAGATAATAGCCAGCCTATATAGCTGCTTTGCTATCACTTTTTTTTCTTTCTCTTAATATAAGCACAGGTACTACATTTCCCCTCCTTCAAATATATGCTATCAGCCATGAACTAAAGGACTAAAAGATTGTTCCATGCAGCAGTATTTATCAGTATTCTTTAAAGACATTTACCCTGCAAGTCAGATGCTTTAATCTTTATTGCATGTGCTAATTTATAATATCTACCCAACACTCCCTTTAATTTTACTTATTTATTTTCAGGCCTTTGCCTGAAATTTTGTTTTTACTGAAAATTAAAACTTTTCCAGTTTAGACCATACCTGGATTACGTTTAATATTATTTCTCCATTCCCACTGCACAATGGTTCTAGTCTTCTTTCCCAGAAAGCTTCTTTACATGGTCAAGTAATATTTTCTTGTTAATTTAAATTCCCTTCTTATGATCTAATTCAACTTAACTTATGCTAACTGTCACTATAACCCCACACTTTCTGATATCCAGGAGGTAGCCTTCTTTGCAGATCAAGCTGTTTTTCTGTTTCTTTCAGGATCTTTGCTTACTCCAGACATTCTTTAGAAATACTTTATCACTTACTTTGTCATAGAACTTTCCTTCCAAGTGTTTTTTTCTCATCTAATTTGGAATCCACTTCTTTTATTAACTTTTGCACCTTTGTCTAAAATAAATCCCAAACCTCTACTACATTTTAGTCTAAAATCACTCAGTCCAGTTGATTTCACTAATTAGCTCTCTCAATTTATTTTGAAAATGAAAATCCTACTTAATCGATCTGCTTTTTGTTTACTAAATTTAACTAAATTAACAACACCAGATATTTCATCCAGGAGCCGTCCCTCCCATTATTAATAACCATCTGTTCCTTTTTTCCTTGTATCTTGGAAAATAGTCTCCCATATTGGGACAATTTTAAGTAATGCGCTTTTTCATATATTACCATCTCCACATCTGATCCTGAGCATTCAGAGAAATGACTGAACTATGTTCAGTCTCTTTTAAAGCCATATGGCTAGGTGCAGTGATACTGGGCAAATTTATTATAGGGACACAGCACATCAAAATGGGTCCTGAATGCACTACTGCACTTTATTTATACCCAGACAACTACTAAGCATTCACCTATCACACTAGTCAGACTGAAGAGGAAAACTCACTCACAAGGCTAAGTTCATATGCTGAAAAATATCTTGTCGGACTCTTTTCAAGAATGGCAACATGATCTTCTTCCCTTCTGAAGAATGAGGTTTAAGAATATCCCCCAAAATGCAAGGCCTTTAACATCTTTCAACTAACCCATCTGTCCTGCTTGAAGAGTCAACAGGACTCTGCAAAGAAAACCAGAATCTTGGTGATAAAAGTTGTTCCTTCATCGGGATCCCACAGTGAATATTTGGTGGGATCCTGGATCTGCTACATCCACTTAGCTGTCCTTCACAAACTACTCCACGTGCAGCTTGCTTTATTCTGAAGCACTCTTTCAAAAGACAGTAATTTCCTTTATTTAAACAATCCCCACAATACTCTAGCATTCTTAATTGTATACCCATTGTTAATAAAACTCATATTCATACGAGTTATTGGGATTTTTTTTGAGAGCCGCTTTTGCTGCTCCATCGTATCATTAGCAGCAGCTACCAAAACTGGATAGGACTAGGTACATTCAGCTTTCAAAACCAGGATGTAGTGAGTGGGCATGTCCATGGTTGTCTTCTTGCTCCATCAGCTTTGAGACAGCTACGTCTGTTATGACATTTTGAAAGATGATTTAGATGTCTTTCACTGAAAGCGATAAAAATGATAAAGCAAAGTGCAAAGTATTCATTGACTTAAAAGAAGATCCCCTAAATTTTACCTATTTTTATCCAAAAGGCTTTCTAGCAAATCCTGGTGAGTTTTCATAGTCAGCAATACTTGAGAACAAATGGGACAGGTGCTTCACTAACTAATGACAATAAGCTGTGGGAATCCATGCCCTGCATCACCTCTCCTCAGGCAAGTTCCAGTTATTCCTCCTTTTGAAGGTATGGTGAACTCCCAGTATAACAGATAGATTACTTGTACCTTCTTCAGTGATAATAACCCAAGTTTCTGGTAAAATTGGGACGTATACTGAACAGTTATGAATGTAAGATTTATGATGCTGGTAATAGAATTTGTGGTCTCCTTTAAAAATCCTAGTTGATGCAGTATTATCCTAATCTTTAGACCCTTTCTGAGACTCAAAAATTGGAAGAAGGGCTCTGTTGAAGAAACAGCATGATCTACCAGCCCTGCCCCACACCTCCTGACAAGGTTTCCAAAGTTCAAATGCAAAACCTAGGGGGAAAAAAAAAAAAAAAGGTAAAATACATCTTACCACACTTTCGGAGGAAAGAGAAGGGAAACAACTAGTACCATAACAAGCATCAGTATCAAAGTAAGTGTGGCTAAGGTGCTTTCAGCACTAGAGCAGTCACTGCTTTTAATAAGATAATAAAATAAGGCAGTATCCTTCCAAAGGGACTGAAAATCATCTGGATATCTTTCTTGCTGCTGCTTTAACTGGAAAAACTCTCTCCTGGGAATGAACACTTTCTCCTGAAAGAATTCAGTTCTATTGCCCTATTTCAGTAAAGGCTGTTCTTGTGCATGGAGACCAAGGGCTAAAGGGAGCTGGGACTTGGGTAGCTGGGACCTGGTACTACTGGACATAGCTGATGGCTGTTTCAAGAGAATTTGCATAACTTGAAATTGGTGCTTTTACTAACCAGTCAAAAAAGAACATTTCAAATCCTGGCTTCTTTAGACTTCAGAGATGCATGGAGAAGGATTTGTAAACTGTACATTTACCAGGGTACTAGATTCACCCAGAATACGCAGGCTTGCCACGTGCAGTAACTGTTTTCTTGTAAGAACATGTTTAAGATTCTAGACATAGCATAAAACAGATAAACCCAGAATAAGGAGGATGCCAAATACGCTTTCTGAAGATTACCTGAAAACCATGTGTAGAAATTGTAACAAGGAGAAGGCTCATTTAAATACAACACACTCTTGTATTTTTAAACAGCCTGTTATACTGATAGTGTAATATCTTCTCGAAGAAGAGCTTTTTCAGGGTGCAGCACACAGCTTCCACTTCAGGCAATAAGAAGAAACTGGACAGCATTTCAGAGCCCCAGTTCAGGCGCAGAAAGATGCTCTGGGTACGCACTAGGTACGCACTGGGCACAATGAACACTCCGAGCTTAAGCACATGCTCAACAAGAGTAAAAAAGCATGTGAAGAATGATGTAGGGATCAGACATTTCTCACTCCTCTCCTTCATTACCTCTCTGAAAACAGCTATATTCTGTGAGATGCAAAAATTCAGCACAGGACTTCTTAGAGAGAAGGGGCGGGATACTCCATAACCAGCAGCAAG